AAAGAAGCCGAGGAGGGGTAGCAGGCAGACACCCGCCACCTACGGCCTTAGCGGCCGTGTTTTCTAGGGCAGACCCATGTGGAGGGCGCTAACGGAGACACTTCAGCTGCTTCATCCGCTCCTCTCCTTCCATCTCTCTAAGACGCAGTTTCCAGCGTCCCGAGCTGTGGCACAAGTTGGAGCCGGCTCCGTAGGGTGGAAATCCCTTTCCCTCACCCCACCCCCACATTTTAAGGCACCTACGGCCTTAGCGGCCGTGTTTTCTAGGGCAGACCCATGTGGAGGGCGCTAACGGAGACACTTCAGCTGCTTCATCCGCTCCTCTCCTTCCATCTCTCTAAGACGCAGTTTCCAGCGTCCCGAGCTGTGGCACAAGTTGGAGCCGGCTCCGTAGGGTGGAAATCCCTTTCCCTCACCCCACCCCCACATTTTAAGGCCCGACTGAACTGCGGCCGGTATTCCGGGAGAGGTCGGTGGGCAGGAGGTGACCAGATCTCTCCCGCAGCACCCACGCCCCAGCACGATCCAGGAGCTGCCCAGCCGGCCAGCGCTGCTAAACCCATGTCACCTTCCTTGCCTCGCGGGAACACCTCTGCGGGTGGTCGAGCAGATGAGTGTGTTGTCCCATGCCCAGTCGGCTTCTGGAATCCCTGGAAACTGTCATCCTGAGCTAGCCGGGTAGGGAGGCCCTTACCGCAAGAAAGGCGCTGGCGAACCTTGGGGGTCACTTTCCACGATCCTCTGCCGGCGTTCAAGGCCGACTCAGCGCGGCTGCTCTGACTCCTTCCTCTTCTGGCAGCGCCACGCGGACACTGTCTGAACATTGCTTTTGAGTTCCCTCGCCGGGGTTCTCCCGTCATCTTTAGGCCTCAGCTAAGCCCTCGACCTAGCCTTTCTGCCCCGCCCTCCCCCAAGCTGGCGCGGTCGCTGGGGCTGAACTGCGACCTCCCACCGCAGGCGCCACGGTGTCCTCGCGCTGGCCCTTGGCGCTTTCTTCCCAAGGTCACAAGGACCCATGAGAGGGTGCTCCCTGGGAGCAAGCAATGCATCTTGTATCCTCAGCGCACTTGGGAATCGGAAAAAGTGGAGATGAAAGTAATGAAGGGCTGGAGGGGCCCAGGGACTGGATCCCGGCACTGAGATTTTGCTAACCAGCCGCCGGGATGCAGATGAGATGCAAATTACCCACGAAGCTACCCGCCCTATCCCTCACCCTCTTCCCAACACTGTCTTTGCTGTCCCCCAGACTCGGAGAAGCCCCCGCTGTCCCCGGAGCCCTCTGAACAGCCCCCGCAGGCGCCAACCAAGAAGCTGCGCAAGCCGAGGACCATCTACTCGAGCGTGCAGCTACAGCACCTAAACCAGCGTTTCCAGCACACGCAGTACCTGGCGCTCCCCGAGAGGGCCCAGCTGGCTGCGCAGCTAGGCCTCACCCAGACCCAGGTGGGGCAGACCCATCCTTCCAGACTCCAACCTTCTTTGCTGTGCTTTCTGGGAACTAACCCCCTGTGTGAATAACTGAGGAGTCCCCTGGCACTGTTGTCACAGTTCTCCAAGGACTCTTCCAACCTGGCCTTCAGGAAGTATGGGGGGGGGGGCTGTTAAAAGGTGGT